ACCTAAAACCAGCCACACTCAGCTACCTCAGCAAGAGAAAAAAATAGAGAAAGATGATCTCAAAAATATCTATCAATATGAATTTTCTTCAATGGAGTAAAACCTAGTGTAATTTATGCAAGACTCACCTCACAAGATTTTAAAGAAAATTATATCAGTATAAACACTGCCAACTCTAAATGAAAGTGATAGAGTACAACATGGGAGAAGGTTGTGAGATCCCCAAACTTCTCTTGATAAGAAATGATCTGATAAAACTACTCAGCTGAGAACACATGCTGCATCTAATGAAAAAGGAAGGATTACTCAGATCGCAGAGCCAAGAGCTCAGAGCACAGACCTGACAGTCCAGAGGACACATCCAAGTGAACAGAGAATGAAGCTGAGTGCCACAAAGGATTTTTCCAGGCCTTAAAACCTAACAAAGAAGTTTTTGAGCCAGTGATCTCTTTTTATCTTCCATTTTTTTACCCGCTTTTGTCTATAACTGTTATCCTGTGCTTGTCACATCATCATAGGTTGGGAATTTTATGGGCAAATAATTTGTCTCCTCAGTTTTACAGACCCGCAGATGGGATGAAATGTCTTCAGGAGCTTTACTTAATGGATTATGCCCAAGATCCTCATCCACATCTGGTTTATATAATTTAGATGATGGCATGTTTACTTTTGAGCTCATGCTGTAATGGGATGAGATTTTGGCGAATCTTGGGAGAAGTTGACTGTATTTTTACATTTGGTAGGGAAATAAATTTTGGGGACCTGAAAGCAGACTATGGTAGGCAGAATTCTAAGATGATTTCCACAAGTTACCAGCCCACAGTGTATTATACATATCTTCCTCCAGTTACTCAATCCAATACTAATCTATGTGTTACTGTAAACAGATTTCACAGATATAATTAGGTTCCCAGATCAGTTGATCATAACATCCAGAGACAATCTGGGTGAGCCTAACCTAATCACATCATCCCTTTAGATGAGGGTCTAGAGTCAGAGACAGAAAAATCAGAGATTAGAAGCTTTAGAAAGAATCAATGTGCAAGTATACAGTGAAGATTGGAGGGGTTCACATCATAAGGAATGCAAATGGCCTCTAGGAGCTGAAAATGGCTTGGCTGACAGCCAGAAAAAAAAATTGGGGACCACATTCCTACAGTTGCAAGGAAGCAAATTCTGAAAGCAACATGAAAGAACTTGGACATAGATTTCCTCCCAGAACTTCCAATGAGAACTCAGTCTGGCTGAAATTTTGAATCCTCCTCAAGATATCTAGGACATCTAAAATCCTCCTCATCATTAATTGTCCAACTAATTCTCTTCAAGTACTTGACCAACCAATCTTTTAGTCATTGCTCATGAGGCAGGGTAGATTCATACCTCCAACCATTAAGCGTTCTGTACAAAATGGACAACCATATGATTCACCCAAAATCGTACGTCAAATCCTAGGGTCTTTTTTCTACTATTCTGGGTTATCCCCGAGTGGGACTACAGTGAGGCAGCCATCCACTTGCACCTACTATCAATATACCAAGAAGATACAACCAGGAATTGATACATTGTTTCATATCTCTTTTTCTAACTGGTCACAAGGATGAAGAATTCACCAAGATGCCATATATGATATATGTTGGTTGAGAGAGAGGCAATGAGTCTGATCAAACTGCACATGAAATTTACTTGTGCCTTCTTGGTTTACTCTGGTCTGATCTTGTAAAGCCATTTGCAATTAATGGTTGAAAGCTGATGTCCACACAAAACTTTATTATTCAACAGAGTAGACAGCAATGCGTTCATTAAGAGTAGCTTGTTAGTATGGAAAATTAATACTTCATGGTCAGGTGTTATGTCTCTACTGGGTTTGATAGCACGCCAGGAGCAGATTCTCAAATGTAGACTAGTTGCCAAGAGGGAATGATTTTGCTCAAAAAACCCTAGAGGCATATACTTGAATTCTGCTATTGGGGCTTTCTAAAACTCCATGGAGCCTCTCTTTCTAGCATGGGCACAATACAATTGGATCTGCAGGGTCATGAGGTTGAAGTATCAGAGAAGGTCACACTACAGTCTGGAACTACTGTAGATCTTTTTCTTGCTCTGGGTACCACTTAAAACAGGAAACCATATGGAGTCCAAGAACAAAATCAGTATAATACATATTGTCTCTAAAATCTAAGGTCTTAATTCCTTCAAGCTAAGTGTAGTAAGATCATCTGCAAGTATGTACTTAACTGCTACCCATCTAGGGCAGTTTACCACCCATGATTTCCCACTCTGGCATTTCTTCTGTTCCTTTGTGAGGCTGTGCTCCTGTGGCATATACAGAACCCTCCACTGGGTTTTTTGTTTGTTTGTTTGTTTTGTTTTGTTTTGTTTTGTTTTAATGGCACAATCTCGGCTCACTGCAACCTCCACCTCCAGGGTTCAAGCAATTCTCCTGCCTCAGTCTCCAAAGTAGCTGAGATTACAGGCACCCACCACCACGCCCAGCTAATTTTTTTTTCATAGTTTTAATAGAGACGGAGTTTCACCATGTTGGCCAAGCTGGTCTCAAACTCCTGACCTCAGGTGATCCACCCACCTCAGCCTTTGAAGGTGCTGGGATTACAGGCGTGAGCCACTTTGCCCAATGCTGGGTCTTTTTATAACACAGATTCCACAGTTGTTCAGTTTCACTTTGCAGTGCCTGTCTTCCAGGGACTGAGAAGTTTCACCCCTTACAGTGCGGGAGCTCTCCTTGGTGCTGCTGAATATGTGTTCTTTAGTAAGGGAAGCTTTTACTGTTAACTGTATATAGTGAACTAATATCTCTGCTGATATTCTGCTATATATAGTAGGTCCTATACAGCCTGTAAAGCCCATTACTCCTCACTACTTTGGAGAGTGTAAGTAAACCCTGTTAGACAATTTATTTGTCCAAAGTTATTTAGGTAGACAGGGGCTAAACTTGGAGACTCAGTCATTATTATTTACATTTTTATTAAGTGCTTACTACTTGTCAGTTACTTGTGTTGGGCACTAGAAAGACAAATATAAAATGGACATGCCATGTTTTGAGATGCAGAATCCAGTGCAGTCTTTCTCATTTTTTTTACTGCAGCCCACAGTCAGAAACTGATTTTCGTCATAACTCATGGTGCACACACATACATACATACATAACTGAAACAAAGTTCACAAAAAATATTCACTCTAGTTAGAATGCTATTTGATATTTGATATTTTCTGTTTGGCTGTATTCAATTCTATTCTATCCTATTTCATTTTTTAAAAATTACCTATCTTGACCCATTGAATTGATTTCAAGATCTACTTCTCATGGGGGAAGGACAACTTCAATTTGAAAAACATGGGCTTATTTAATGATCTGTGATGTGTGTCTTATATAGCACACATATTTATATTTTTAGGCACATATTTTATGTAAAGGTGGGAGTGGGGAACCTGAAGGGTCTCTTTCTAAGCCGGTGCTTCTCAAACTTCAGTGTGCATAGGAATCTTCTTGGGATATTGTTAAAATGAAGATTCTAACTCAGTAGGTCTGAGGCAAGACCTGAGATTCTGCATTTTTAATTAGTTCCCCAGGTGATGATTATGCAGCTGGTTCATGGACCACAACATGTTCATTACAAAGGATTTAAAACTCAAATGTATTGATGGGTCTGCTCAACTGCTAAAGTGTTACCTGACAAGTTTCCTGAGAGTGAACTCAACAGAGAAAAGAGCATCTGCAGACAAGATATTAACCCATGAGAACAGCACAACCACTATCATGCAGTTATGTTTTCCTGGCCTAGCCTGCAATATCTGAGTTTTGTGAGGAGAATATTTATGTATGCAAAACAAACAAATCAGGAATACACACAAATGATCGTTTTGGCATAAAAAGAATTTGGAAGATATTAATGAGAGGCCCAAGCAGCACCAAGGTGATATCCATGTGTACCTGGTTACTGTAACTATAAAGTGGAGAGAGGGCTTTACCCATTTCTATGGGGGTCATGAGTTGGTGGACATTGCTTACCAGTGATTCCAGAGAAAATGACAGGGCTTTGACACCATAAATCCTCTATCAGTAAAGGGTGCAGGACCTGGAAAAAAGGGCATAGTGCCCAGCAGATGTGGCAGTATCTAGGAGATAGTGGCATCTACTTCTTAGCTGCCTGGAAATATTCCTAGACATGGTGAGAACTCCCTCAGCCCTCCTCCAATGTGTCTGATTCCATTGACTTTCCTACCACTGTAGGGGAATAGTTTAGGAGCCATTTCTCCCCTGAGTACCTGGTGGGAACCAGGCCACAACACGGCTCACATCCTCAATACCTCATCTTATCCACCAGGTAGTCCTGTGAGGCAAGTATTATCCTTATTTTACAAATGACAAGATTGACTCTTACAGCAATAGATCTGTTAGAATTTCCAGGTTGATTCATTTAGTTTTTAGTCCCAGACATAATATGAATTTTACCTGTCATCTTATGTTCTGATAACAGGAATTGTGTCTTTATTGCCTTTGTAAGTTCACCAAACAGTTCAATTTCTTATTATGTAATGTTTTCAGCTTTTATTTATTTTTTAGTATGACAAATATAATCCATATCCTTTAGTAAAGAAAAGATAGAGATGAGTGAGCAAAGTAAAAGAGTCACACATTGGGGTGCCGTAGCATGATAGAGGACCCAGGAACATGTGTGCAGACCCAGCACTCATGTTAGAGGACCCAGGAACATGATAGAGGATCCAGCAACAGTGCCCACTGACCTGGCTACACCTAGGGAAGACACAGGGATGCGCACAGCAGCAGAGGAATGTCATGGAGGTACATAAAAGAGGTGGTAGGACTCATTTTTGAACACAGGTGAGACCTATTCTTGGCTGCCCTTCAGGAATAACCATTGCCTACTTTTTAGTGTACACACTTTAAAAGTTTTCTTTGTGCAGAAATGCATTATACAAACATTTACATTTTTATAAAAATTGCCTGATACTGTATATGCGGTTCTGCAAACTGTTCTTTATTTATTTATTTTTTACAATGTGTCATGAACATCTTTTCCATGCACATGGGTGAAAATCCTCTACTAAAATATAGAGCGCTGTAGTTGGGTCAAAAGGCTGCTGGTAACGAGATTGACATCTAAAGCAAAAATATCAGCTTAAGGTTAAAGCATTGGGCCTGGCAAATATCTACCAGGGAAAGCAGGATTGGCAATAATCTCATCAGAGAAGTCAGAGTGGAAGGCCAAAGGCATTAAAGGTATGGAATATCGTGTAAGCCTCTTTGGCCCCTACCTCCACCCCTCACTCCCCTGACACCCCGTTGTCCCCTTGGGGAGAATGGATCCTGCACATCTCTTTGCATCCAATGAAAACCACCCATTTTCTGTTTTTTCCTTAGCTCCTCCTGAGCCCTTGACACATCTCCACTTTCTCTCATCATCTCCTCACTGCTCAGATGCCTTTCCTGTAAGTCCTCCTGAAAGTCCTTGGGGGAATCGTCTGTCCCCCTGTCCGTTTTTCTTTTTGCTTTCCGGGGCACATAATCTCCAGCCGGGCGCTTTTCGGCGGCCCGTGGCTGGCTCTCTGTCTTTGCCTGGGAGGCTGGCTTGTCCTCGCCTTGTGGCTTGCCCTCACCTTCGGACTTGCCCTGCTTTTCCTGGCTTCCCTCATCTTCCGCTTGTCCCTCATCACCTGGCTCTCCCTCATCCTCTCTCTTTCCCTCGCATTCTGTCTTCCCCTCCATGTCCGGCTTTTCTTCCTCGTCTGACTTTCCTTCATCATCAGGCTCTACTTCATCTTCTGGCTTTCCCTCGTTTTCCAGGTTTCCTTCATTTTTATTGTAGGGTTTTTCCATGTCGAGATTTCTCTTTTTCCTGTCCTGGGGGATGACAGTGAAGGGAAGAGGAGACAAAGAGGAGACACGGGAGACTGAGGGCCTGGGGTGGAATGCAGGTCTGAATAGTAATTGCATCTCACCCCTGGTGAGGGTTCCCCTAAGCTGGCCGGGCCTCCAAGAGGGCCTTCTGCCCGCCAGGTAGCCCATCACTCCTCCCACACACGTGAGCCAGTCATTCCCTGGCAGGCCTTGCCTCCTTCTCTGAACGGATTCAGCCTGGTAAGGTGTGTGTTCACGTGGGTGGGGGGATGGGCAGGGGTCCCAATTCGGCCTTGGCCGGGCCCTCCACACTCTCAACCCTTGTGAGCCCCCGTCCATGCAGCCCCCTGCTTTCACGGACCTGCGGGGATTCTGGACAGGTTGCTCCTCCTTTTCAGGCCTCTCAGAGCGCTGGGAACAACAGACGCGCAGACCTGCGGACAGACAGGAGACAGGCGCAGGGACTGCGCGCTCAGCGGGCTCACAGGGGACTCGGTTCCCTTTCCTGAGTCCAGGCCCTGCTCACCCAATGTTTTTCTCCCCTACCTCCCCCGCACCCCAACCGCCATTTCTTTCCAGGCCTCGGGCACCAAACCAGGATGCTTTCCAAACTGCGTTTGTCTCTTAGTGCCCTTCCCCCGGAGGCAACCTGTCTCAGCGCCACCCCGTTTTTGCGGAGGTCAGATGTTTACATGGGAGAGGATTGTGAGAGGGGGTTATTTCCAGAATATGTCTACGTTTCACTGTCGCACTGCGGGGTCGCTACCCCCCCTCTTTCCAGCACTAAAATGGATGGAGGGCTCAGTGCAAGGGGGCGTCGAGAAGGTGGGCCAGGCTCGCTTCGGGGGTTCTCCCTTCCCTGCCCCCGCCCCGGCCCGCTCCGCATCCCCCTTCTTACCAATCTACAGGATCCCTTCTCCGCCCCCTCCCCAATCCTACTACCGGCTCCCTCCATCCCTATCTCAGGGTCCGCCGGCAGCGCCTGCCTTCACACTGACCTGCGGGTGCCCAGTACAGGCTTGTGCCTCCTCGGGCTCGCGGAAGCCCGCTCGCTGCTCCCCCGCCGCCTGGGCAGCTCAGACAGCTGATTCTGCGCGGGCGCCTGGACCGGACCGCAGGGCGGGCGGGCGGGCGCGGGGGCTGGTGCCCACGTAGGCGCCTGGTCACTCACGTGAGCACCGCGTCACCAGAGCTAGGCCAACACCACCCCCTTCCCGCCCACCTCACCATCCATCCCGAGGGACTGGGAAGTTGCAGAAGGTGGGAGAGTGTGTGTGTAACAAAGGAATGGGAGCCATCAGGAAGAAGAGGAGGGGTGGCTTTCTGACCCCAGGTGCTTTACCTGACGCAGCTCACAGCATCCTCACAGGGCATCTCTCTCTGATGCCCATTATCGCCAGGTGTGTCAGCTGATCAGAGAGGGTACTCGACTTTGCCAAGAGCGCTCAGCCCGAGAACTCCACAGCTCACTTTCAATACCGGCTTTGCCTGACTCCAGAGCCCGGGGTAGTGGTGCCTGCCAGGAAGCTGAGCTGCCACCTTGAGTGGCGGTGCTCCTGGGGTTCTGTCTTGGGCCTCCTCTCTCCTCAGTCCTCAAGTTGTCTCTCCCTGTGTGATCTCATTCATTTCCAGAAAGCACCGATGACTCCCAGATCTACATCTCCAGGCTATTCCCTTCTCCGTGTCTCATATCAGTTTTTCCAGTTGTTTATTGGATATCACCGCCTCTGAGGGACACGGTGCGTCAAAGCCCTGTAACACAAATTGATTTCAAAAGCCTGTGTACCCCAAACTGATTTCACCAACTTCCTTCTTGTCATCTCCATTGGCCTTTCTCCACACTTGAAAGTTACCTTCCAACAGCTGACCAGTTTTCATAGAAAGAGAATGTCAGACAGCTAGAAAAGAAAGCATTCAAACGTTTTTAATATGAACTTCAGATCCACAAATTCATCACAGCCCTTGGTTCACAACATGCTCTTCTCACTGCCTACTGCTCCTCCCCTCCTTTCCCCTCTCCTGTCCTCCCCACTATTTACTTTCCTTCCATTGTTTTTCTCCTTCACATTTGTGAAACCACCACTAAACCCAAAGAACTAGAAAATTGCTAATAACTGTTTACTTTCCTTCCATTGTCTTTCTCTTTCACATTTGTGAAACCACCACTGAACCCAAAGAACTAGAAAATTGCTAATATTCTTGTCACTACAGTGTCGTGTCATATATTTGGGTTTTGACAAGATGTTTATAACATGTTTTTGTTTGGATCTCTTTCAGATTATCCTGTTTGGAGTGTATTGAACTTCTTGGGTACATAGACTAGTGTCTTTCCTCAAGTTTGAGTAATTTGCAGTCATTCTTCCTTTGAAAATTCTTTCTGCCCTATTCTATTTCTCTTCTTGTTGAACACCCATCATGCATAGGTGTGCTCTCTTCATTTTTCACATTATTTTTATTTTTCTGCTCCTCAAACTGAATAATCTCAATTGACCTATTTTAAGTTCACTGATTCTTTTGCCTGCTCAAATCTACCATTGTACCCCTGTAGTGAATTATAGTTATTGTACTTTTCAAATACAGAATTTCTATTTATTTTATAATTTCTACATCTCTTTTTATTTTTACATCTTTGCTGATATTCTGTATTTGCTGAGACATTCTTCTCTTTTTCTTCAGTCCTTTGTTTATGATTTCCTTTAGTTCTTTGAGCATATATAAGACAGTTGATTAAAAATATTTTCTTGTTATTCTAATACATGGACTTCTTCATGATAGTATCTAATTATTTCTTTCCTGTGTATGGGCTATGCTTTCTTATTTCCTTATACGCCTCACAAAGTTTTGTTGAAATCTGTGTATTTTGATTCTAATATGTTAACTCTGGAAATTAGATTCTCCCTCTTCCTTGGGTTTTGTTGTTGCTCTCTTGTGGGTTATTGTTTACTTATTTAGTGACTTTTTAAACCATTTTAGCAAATTATGTACTCTTTGTCTTGTGTGGCCACTAAAGTCTGTGTTTTATTGCTTATTAATCAGCTGGTGTGTGGATGCTGTTACTTTAAGTGCCTAAAGTCAACAAAAGAAAATTGATGAATAAAAAAATACTTTCTTGGCCTGGCGCGGTGGCTCACGCCTGTAATCCCAGCACTTTGGGAGGCCAAGGCAGGTGGATCACCTGAGCTCAGGAGTTCAAGACCACCCAGGACAACATGGTGAAACCCCGTCTCTACTAAAAATACAAAAAAATTAACCAGGTGTGGTGGCGCATGCCTCTAGTCCCAGCTACTTGGGAGGCTGAGGCAGGAGAATCACTTAAGCCCCAGAGGCAAAGATTGCAGTGAGCCAAGATCGCGCCACTGTACTACAGCTTGGGCTACAGAATGAGGCTCCATCTCAAAAAAAAAAAAAAAAAAAAAAAAAAAAAAAAAAAATCTTTCCCAGTCTTTGCAAATGAACTCTGAGTTGGAGTACTTTTTTAATGCTTTACATTTTCCTTATGCAGAGCCTGAAGCTTCACCTAAGTTGAATGCTTGCATTTTCTCTGGTCTTTTCTGAATATGTGTCCCACCCTCAGCATACACATGGTCTTCTTGATTTTCCAGTATATATAAAAGTTTTTTTTTTAAAAATGCTTGTTCTTCCACATATCTTGTTTCCCAAACTCTTCCTTCTCAGGCTTCTCGGTCTGTCCATTGCTTGTTCTGAGTGTTGCCCTTTGCTCCAGACTTCTTTGGCCAACTCCTGTGATTTTAAATGCTTCTGGCAAAAGCCAACTGGAGAGCCAATGCAGCCCAAGCCCTGGGAGTCCTCCCAGTCTGGTGTAATGAAGGAAGCCTTAGTGATGAAAGTGCTGCCAGGCAGGCTGATCGCCATACCACACTTCTTCGAGAATACGGTCCAAATTCCTTCCACTGGTACTAGCTATCTAAACCAGGATAGTGGGCTGTCATCAACAGATCAATGACGATCTGGGGCATAGAGAGTGGTAGATAGGCAATTGAAAATTTTTTCTTACCACAGATTGGCAGCGTTTATTCTTCACCACGTTTCCCTTTCATTGTTATAATTTTTTGACTGGATTCCAGAGTTCTGAGAAAGTTGATGGTAACAGTTTTTGCCAACTCACTAATTGCTCATTATGGAGTTCCAGAGTTCCATACGCTACCATTTTTAATGATGTTACTTGTATTTCTATTTCTTTTTAAGTCAATTGGGTAGGCTGTGTCTTTTTTGGAATTCGTCCCGTTCATCTACCTTGTCTCATTTTTTTGTCATGCAGTTGTTAATAGTATTACCTTATAATCTTTTTTTACATCTGTAGAGTTGTTAATGATGACCCCTTTTTTATTCCTGATTTTAATAGTTTCAGTCTTCATCATTTTTTTTTCTTGGTGAGTGTCACTAAAGTTTTGTCAGGTTTTTTTTTAATCTATATTTTCAAAGAACAAACTTTTAGTTTCATTGATATTCTATTCTGTAATTCATTTATTTCCACTGTAGTGATTACTATTCCCTTCCTTCTGATTTCTTTGATTTAAGTTGCTCTTCTTTCTGTTGCTTTTTAAGATGGAAGTTTACTGATATGGGATTTTTATTTTTTCAAAGTAGACATTTACAATTACACATTTCCATCTAAATACTGCTTACCTATATCCGATAACTTTTTATGTGTGTTCTTTTTAAGTATTTTTCAATTTCTCTCATGATTCCTTCAGGTTGAAGTATATTGGTTGATTTCCACATATTTGCAGGATTTTTGAATTTCCTTATGTTGTTCATTACAAATTTAATTCCATTATGATCAGGGAATATTGTTTTTATAATTTCAATACTTTTAAGTGTATATGGGATTTTATTATTTGTTATGTAGTCTTTCCAGGAGAATGTTCCATGGGTGCTTGACAAGAATGTGTATGCTTATGCTGTTTGGAGTGTTCTTTACATGTCTGTTATTCCAGTTGGTTTTGTAGTTTTGTTTAAGTCTTCTATTTCCTTGTTGATATTCTTATTTGTTTCTTTTATTTTTGAATGTGTGGTTTTGAAGTCTCCAATTATGATTGTTAAATTGTCTTTATTTTCTCCTAATTTTTTCCTTCTATTTTGTAAGTTTTTGCTTTATATATTTTGGAAATCTGTTTTATGTTCATATATGTTTATAATTTTTGTATAGTCCTGATGGATCAGACTTGTTATATAACACATTTTTATTCTATGATAACATTTTTTGTCTTAATGTCTTTTTCATCTGGCTCTTTTGGCTATTCTTTTCATATTATATATTTTCCATCCTTTCACATTAATTTTATTTGCTTATTTAAATATATTCTCTTTTAGATAGTATATAGTTGGATTGTGCTTTTTTTTTTTTTACCCATTCTGCTACTTTCTGCCTTTTGAATGAAATGCTTAATCAACTTATATTTAATGCAATAATGAATAAGGTAATATTTACATCTGCTGTTTTGTTATTTGTTTTCTATTTGTTGTGTATTTTTGTTCCTCTATTTCTCCACTATTGAATTACTTTTAAAAGGATATTTTTGACGTACCATTTTAATTCTTTTTCTTGTACAATGTTTTTGAATAATTTTCTTAGTGTAGTTGGCCTAGGGATTATAATTAGTGTATTAATTTAAAACAACTGAATTTGTATCAATTCTAACTTAATTTTAATGGGATGCAAAACTTTATCTCCATTTCCTCTTTCCTCCTTTGTGATCTAGGAGGAGTGTCATAGAAATTACATCTTAGCCATTATATCTGTTTTGTATTTATTGTTTTATAAAGTTTTCTTTCTAATCTAATAAGAGAAAAATGAGTTACAGACAAATATACATTTATAACTATTTGTATTAATTTCCTATTGTTGCTGTAACAATTACCACAAACTTAGTGGCTTTAAATAGGAAAAACTTATTCCCTCACAATGCTAGAAGTAAGAAATTAAAATGCCTTCATGGGGTTTTGACCAGAGTCAGCAGATATCCACTTCTTTGTTTTTTTCAACTTCTGGAGCTGAATTTCTTGTAGTCCTTGGCTTATGTTCCCTTCATTCATCTTTTTTTTTTTTTTTTTCTTATTTTAAGTTCTAGGGTACATGTGGATAATGTGCAGGTTTGTTACATATGTATACCTGTGCCATGTTGGAGTGCTGCACCCATCAACTCGTCAACACCCATCAACTCGTCATTTACATCAGGTATAACTCCCAATGCAATCCCTCCCCCCTCCCCCCTCCCCGTGATAGGCCCCGGTGTGTGATGTTCCCCTTCCCGAGTCCAAGTGATCTCATTGTTCAGTTCCCACCTATGAGTGAGAACATGCGGTGTTTGGTTTTCTGTTCTTGCGATAGTTTGCTAAGAATGATGGTTTCCAGCTGCATCCATGTCCCTACAAAGGACACGAACTCATCCTTTTTTATGGCTGCATAGTATTCCATGGTGTATATGTGCCACATTTTCTTAATCCAGTCTGTCACTGATGGACATCTGGGTTGATTCCAAGTCTTTGCTATTGTGAATAGTGCCGCAATAAACATACGTGTGCATGTGTCTTTATAGCAGCATGATTTATAATCCTTTGGGTATATACCCAGTAATGGGATGGCTG